AAGAAACAAAAGAACTAATAGAAGTTATGACCCAACTGGGTTTAACAGACATCTATAGAACATTCCACCCAAATACAAAGGGATATACCTTCTTCTCGGCACCACATGGAACCTTCTCTAAAATCGACCACATACTTGGCAATATATCAAACCTCAGCAGCTACAAAAAAATTGGAATAACTCCATGCATCTTATCTGACCACCATGCTTTAAAATTAGAATTCAACAACAACACAAATTGCAGAAAACCTACAAACTCATGGAAATTGAATAATGCTCAACTGCACCATCCCTGGGTCAAAGAAGAAATAAAAAAGAAATTAAAGACATCCTCGATTTCAATGAGAATGAAGACACAACATACCCAAACCTATGGGACACTTTGAAAGCAGTGCTGAGAGGAAAGTTTATAGCACTAAGTGCCCACATGAAAAAACTGGAGAACAGTCATACTAGAGAATTAATAGCACAGCTGAATGTTCTAGAACAAAAAGAAGCAAACTCCCCCAGGAGGAGCAGATGCCAGGAAATAATCAACTTGAGGGCTGAAATCAATCAAGTAGAAACCAGGAAAACACTGAGAAGAGTCAATGAAACAAAGAGTTGGTTCTTTGAGAAAATCAACAAAATAGATAAACCTCTGTCCAAACTAACCAAAAGACAGAGAGAGCATGCTAATTAACAAAATCAGGGATGAAAAAGGGGACATAACAACGGACTCTGAGGAAATCCAGAGAATCATCAGGGCATACTTTGAAAATCTGTACTCCACAAAATTTGAAAATTTAAAGGAAATGGACAATTTTCTGGATAGATATCACTTGCCAAAACTAAATCAAGAACAGATAAACAATCTAAACAGACCTATAACCCCTAATGAAATAGAAGCAGTCATCAAAAGTCTCCCAAACAAAAAAAGCCCAGGCCCAGATGGCTTCAGTGCAGAATTCTACCAGAAATTCAAAGAAGAGCTAATTCCAATACTCCTCAAAGTATTCCACACAATAGAAGCAGGAGGCTCACTGCCAAACTCTTTTTACGAGGCTACAATTACCTTGATACCCAAGCCACAGAAAGCCACAACTAAGAAAGAGAACTATAGACCAATTTCCCTCATGAACATCGTTGCAAAAATACTCAATAAAATACTCGCAAACTGGATTCAAGAACACATCAGAAAAATAATCCACCATGATCAAGTAGGCTTCATCCCAGGAATGCAGGGATGGTTCAACATTAGAAAATCTATCAATGTAAGCCATCATATTAACAAACTGCGAAAGAAAAACCACATGATCATCTCACTAGATGCTGAAAAAGCCTTTGACAAAATCCAGCACCCCTTCATGATAAAGGTCCTAGAGAGATCAGGGATAACAGGAACGTACCTGAATATAATAAAAGCAATATACAGTAAACCAACAGCTAACATCAAACTAAATGGAGAGAAACTCAAAGCAATTCCTCTAAAATCAGGAACAAGACAAGGCTGTCCACTCTCTCCATATCTCTTCAATATTGTACTTGAAGTTCTAGCTACAGCAATAAGACAACAAAAGGAGATAAAGGGGATACAAATAGGAAAAGAAGAAGTCAAACTTTCACTATTTGCAGATGATATGATAGTTTACATAAGTGACCCAAAAAACTCCGCAAGGATACTCCTAGAGCTGATAAACACCTTCAGCAATGTGGCAGGGTACAAGGTAAACTCAAAAAAATCAGTAGCCCTATTATATACAGATGATGAAGTGACTGAGAAAGAAATCAGAGAAACATCACCCTTTACAACAGCCAAAAACAGCATCAAATATCTTGGGATAATGTTAACCAAGGAAGTGAAAGACCTGTATATCAAGAACTTTGTGTCCTTAAAGAAAGAAATCAAAGAAGATACCAGAAAATGGAAAGATCTCCCATGCTCTTGGATTGGTAGGATCAACATAATAAAAATGGCAATCTTGCCAAAAGCAGTCTACAGATTCAATGCAATCCCTATCAAAATTCCATCACAATTCTTCAAGGACCTGGAAAGAACATTAATCAACTTTATATGGAAAAGCAAAAGGCCCAGGATAGCCAAAACAACCCTATACAATAAAGGAACTTCAGGAGGCATCACCATACCTGACTTCAAGCTCTATTATAGAGCTATAGTCCTGAAAACAGCTTGGTATTGGCACAAAAATAGGCAGGTAGACCAATGGAACAGAATCGAAAGTCCTAATGTTAACCCACACACCTATGAACACTTGATTTTTGACAAAGAAGCTAAAACTGTACAATGGGAAAAAGAAAGTATCTTCAACAAATGGTGCTGGCATAACTGAGTACTGTATGCAGAAGACTGCAGATAGATCCATGTTTATCGCCTTGTACAAAACTTAAGTCCAAATGGATCAAAGATCTCAACATAAATCCAGCCACCCTGAAACTTTTAGGAGAGAAAGTGGGAGATACTCTTCAACAAGTTGGTACAGGAGACCACTTCCTAAACCTAACACCAGTAGCACAGCCACTGAGATCGACAATTAACAAATGGGACCTTCTGAAACTAAATAGCTTCTGTAAGGCAAAGGACACAGTCAAAAAGACAAAAAGGCAGGCCACAGAATGGGAAAAGATATTCACTAACCCTACATCTGACAGAGGGCTAATCTCCAAAATTTACAAAGAACTCGAGAAGCAAGTCTCCAAAACACCAAAGGATCCAATAAAAAGGTGGGGTACAGAACTAAATAGAGAATTCTCAATAGAGGAGGCTAAAATGGCCAAGAGACACTTAAGAAAGTGCTCAACATCCTTAGTCATCAGGGAAATGCAAATCAAAACAACTCTGAGATACCATCTTACTCCTGTCAGAATGGCTAGAATCAAAAACACCGAAGACAATTTATGCTGGAGAGGATGTGGTGAGAGAGGAACACTCCTCCACTGCTGGTGGGAGTGCCGACTCATACAGCCTCTTTGGAAATCAGTATGGAGATTCCTCAGGAAAATGGGAATTAATCTACCACTAGACCCAGCAATTCCACTCTTAGGCATTTATCCAAATGAGGCAGGTTCATACAACAAGGGCATCTGCTCCACTATGTTCATAGCAGCATTGTTTGTAATAGCCAGAACCTGGAAGCAACCTAGATGCCCCTCAACTGAAGAGTGGATAGAGAAAATGTGGTACATTTACACAATGGGGTATTACTCAGCAGGAAAAAACAATGGAATCTTGAAATTCGCAGGGAAATGGATAGCACTGGAAGAAACCATCCTGAGTGAGGTAACCCAGTCGCAAAAAGACAAACATGGTATGTACTCACTCATATATGGATTTTAGACATGGATCAGGATAGTGCCAGTCTGCACTTCCACAGATAGAGAGTCTGGGAAACAGGAAAGAACCTAAAAGATATGCATATATGCATAGTACCCAAGAGAAGAGGATTGAGACAAGATCCTCTGAATGGATGGGGAACACGGCGAGGGGTGGGGGGAGTGGGACCCGGGAAGAAGAGAGGGGGTGAAGAGGAAGAGAGTTGGTCATGGGGGAACAGGAAGTTGAGTGAGTGGGGGTAGAATAGGGGGAAGAGGGAATCATAGGATCGAAGACAGATCAGGCACCAGAGTGACCTCGAGTGATCTAAAGGGATAACACCAATTGGCAAGCTAAGCAATAGTGGAGAGACCACCTCGAATGCCCATTCCTGATAATGAACTTGATGTCTATAACCATCCGGGAACCTTCATCCTGTGACTGATGGAAGCAGAGGCAAACACACAATTAATCACTGAACTGAACCCAAGGAACCCAGTGACAGAGAGAGAGGAGTGATGAGCAAATTGGCAAAGAATGGGCTGGCAAAACCAGCAGAGACAGCTGATCTGAACAGGGGAGAGCTCTTGGACCCCAGACCGACAGTGGGGAGGACAGCCTGGATCCCCCAAATGTGAGTGTCGGCGAGAAGGCCTGGGCAACCTATGGGGCCCTGAGCTGTGGATCAGTGTCTATCCCTGGAATACAAACAGTCATCGTGTGCCTATAGCAAAAGAGGGATGCTCCCTCAGCCTGGACTCTTAGGGGAGTGCCTGGACCCTACCCAGAGTGAAGTGACAGACTCTAGA